CGAGCGTCCGGCAGCATCAGTGAAGGGAAAGTATAGATATCGATCAGCGCATTGTGCCAGCGCCTACCAGCGTCCGGAAGAGGAGAGTATGGCAGGATAGGAGGGTAGCAGACAGCTAGTAGAAGGCGCGATAGCTGGTAGAGTATGGGGAGATAGGAGTGTACCAGTGTCTACTACCCTCCTATCGCACCATACTCTCCTCTTCCGGACGCTGGTAGGCGCTGGCACAATGCGCTGATCGATATATTTACTCAGACGCTGAATCGATATCTATAATTTCCCAGTCGCTGACGCTGCCGACGCTCGAAACGCTAGTACGCTGCCGCAAATGAACACAGTCTTACCGCGAAGCCTCAGAGCGCTACTGCAATGATGGCCCGCTGTCGTCGTCATCGCGAAGTCTGAACACACGGACTCTGAACGTTGCCTTCCCGACATGACGGCTTCGCGGACTCTTATAGCGCTAGGCCTCTGAGGGGAAGAGGACGTATGCCCTTTCAACCACGGGTATAGCCCATCTGATTTTTGCGGGAGTAAACAAATTGCGAGAAACGTGTAGAGAGAGATACGCAAAGCATTCTATGGCTCACCAGCTTATTGAGGATTTCGTCGACTTGCTGAACTGCCGTTGAAGTGCGACTCATGATGTTCTTGATATGTAGCTTTTGCTGTTCGCCAAGTTGTGGTGTCCGTTGCAAAAAATCATCCAAATTTCCGAGAAACGTCGTCAGCTTAAAAAATATTTTGCAACAGTGGTACGCCGACCACATCATTTGTAGTGAATGGAAATCACATGGGGTGCTCTTGCTGCTCTCTGAGATTTGATGAGTGATAGTGAAAGGGGTTGTATTTGGCCTCGAGAAAAAATATTCTAGTTATTGATTTTTTTCCGTTTCACGAGCGCTTATATGACCCCTAGCTGATGTATAGGGGGTCGTAATCAGCAAAAATCCTCCACAACGCGATGACGTGCCCTGGCGGTACGACAGTAAATAGGTTTCTGTGGCCGAAAAATCATTGATAATTCGCTTACCTCAAGCTTGTATTGTTCGAAGAGAGGTATGCGATGTCGCGGTAGCATGGCATCCCACGTTTTCTCAAAAGGAAAAAATTAGGCTGAATATTAAGGAGGTTCGTTTCATGACAAACCACCCTCACCTCCGTGGATCCTGGTCCCTGCCATGTGCGAGGGAATGGGTTCGTAGCTTCAGTTACGTGCTACTTCTCTCTTAAAAGTACACGGGAACGGAGCTGGATAGTAGTAACACCCGAAGTGTCGTCT